CAAAAATTTTTTTAAATTCATTTTTTGTTAACTGCAGCCTTTGCTAATCAAGGTTCTACAGTAAATGCGTTTTTAGGGGTGTCCCTTATAACCTAGGGGATTGTCCCTAATTGCCCATCTTGCGGAAATGGCAGCTATTTTTTTCTTAACGAGATACACAAATTTTGTTGATCATGTTTTAAGCCAACACTTGTGTGCAACTTTTATGAAATAATATTTTTTAATATGGTGAATATTTTTTTGCTACTGACCTTAGTAGAGGTACTTTTCCAAAATCTCAATTTTCACACTTTTTAAGGGATTTTTTAAAGTAGTAAATGTGATTTCTTAACTAGCATTATGCTCAATAGATAGTAAAAATGTTGAAATTGATGCCACTATTTTTAGTTTTGCAATATTTTCATTACTTTAGCTGCTACAACAATTCTACGAAATGTGGGGTGACTGTCCTGATTTACCCTGTCTGTCCCTTATTGACCCGTTTGACAGTACTGCATCCATCATGCCCTCTCCCAAAGGCAATGTCACTGCATGCAAAAGTTGTGGCCTCCTATGATGGAGGCCACGACATTGGTGAGGTTTTAAAATTATTTTGGCATCTTTGGCGTTTCCTCATTCAATAATAAAGGACTTTAATTAAAAGTATGAGATAAAGACAGACTGACTCCAAAGTGTCCTATCAACACAATGTAAACGAAATTTAAAAGCTATATAATTTCAGCATTCAAATTGTCCGAAACATTTCCCATGACTCACATAAACAGAGGCTCAAATTTTAATGTTTAAATGTATGTCCATACTGAGTATTAGATAGAGAAACTCTTCAGTGTTATTGTTGATTCCAACTATTGAAATATTATTCATATTTTGGCAAGGATTTATTATGAAAAATATGAACTTGAGCAATTTTCACAAAAATGGCTACACATTACGACTTGGACAATCATTGCTTAGCACTAGACTGCTTTAATTAGATGCCTTCTCCTTTGACTGCTGCCATTTTAATAGAAAATACCATCAAACGGGGTAAAAAGGGATGGTTTTGAGCATTTTTTGTTAATAACTTCTTACCATGAAACATTTTATAAATGAGTTTGGGCTCATTTTAAAGGTTCCTCACACATAAACAACGCCACACTTAAAAGTAACGTATGAGATAAAGACAGACTGACTCCAAAGTGTCCTACACATTAGTACATCCTACACAAGGGCTATTGTAAGGCATCTCCAAAAAATTCCAAATGCTATTTGTAAGGTGCTAGACGCAATATAAAAGGCTCCTGAATTAGTCTGGAAATGGGTAATTAGGGACACTTGAGATAAAACAATTTTAAAACGTTTGAAGCATGTAGAGTGCACTCACGAATTACTAACAGTGCTTGGAAGTCCTCCTCTTTCATTGAAGATGATGTAAATGTAGAATAAATGACATTTTTGGTGATTTTCACTTGTTTTTCCTTTATTGATATGATATTACCATATTCATTAATTACCATATTATTAATGTGATATTACTGTATCCATGGACATGCCATTGAGCATTAACAACGACCTTGTCCACTGCAAGCTTCATATCAGCAGCCATGTAGCATTTCTTCTGTATCTGTAAGCTTACAGGATGGTTTGTAATTTTGCACAATTTTAATCGAGTCGAGTGATTTTACTGTAACAAAAAATATTGTAAAAAACATTCCTGAAACAGGAAGGAATATTTTAGTGACAACCATTATATTTTTTGGAGAAATTAATCATAGTTTAGGTAATTATTTTTCATTCTTTGTTGCCCAGTGCTCAATTCTATCTATGATAGAATTGAGCACTTTTACAAAATTTACATTGAAAATTTTGTGATGACTGATGCAGTAATTTTTTGTTAAGTGAAATTTTTTTCACTGAGCAAGGTAAACGTAATCAAATTTCTTTGTTGTTAATTGATTTTTCCATTAACTGGAGCCTTTGCTAACCAAGGCTCTACTGTAAGAGGGGGTAACTTATACTAATTTTTTTTAAATGATGCCATTTTTTACAAGCTAAATTAAACTTAAATTGAAACATGCAAAATACAGATCTATACTCTAGGTTCACTCACCATAAATTGCTGGTTCCTGCCTCTCATAGTTTTGATGTAATTTCAAAAAAAGTGATGGTCTTTGTTACGGTGTTACCCCAGCTCTTGGGGTATCTTAGACTGGGTGGTAAAATCAATTATATTTTTTGGTAAAATAACTCCAGGTTTTGTCGCATTGTAGTAGAACCCTTCCAGTTACATATGCAAATGACAAATTTGAGGAAAGTGTCATAGTTTGCAAATGGGGGTGCTGCCCCCGAATGGGGGAACTTAGACCACCTAATGTCAGCTGTGATGGGGTAATATTGACTGGCATGGAAATTAAGTTAAAATTACCATATATAAGACTCTGTAGTCTGAAACATAGAGAAAAAACATTAATAGGTGTATGAAACCTAAAATATGTTATATATGATAATTTTAAATTAATTTCCAAGCTGGTCTATGTTACCCAGTCAGGGCTGACATTCGGTGGACTAAGTTCCCCCATTCAGGGGCGGTGCCCGCCATTTGCAAACTATGACACTTTCCTCAAATTTGTCATTTGCATATGTAACTAGAAGAGTTCTACTACAATGCACCAAACCCTGGAGTTAACATAAACCGGGGCTACTCAGGACGATTTCGAAGGTTTTTCTTCATAACTTCTTACCATGAAACATTTCATAAACAAGTTTAGGCTCATTTCAAAGCTCTTTGCAAGGGCTATCACGTGGCTTATTTAAAAAATTCCATATGCTATTCGTAAGGTGCCAGAAGCAAAAAAAGAGTGTCCTGAGTAGCCCCGTCGAACGGGGCTACTCAGGACACTTGGAATAAAACTTCATTTTAAAACATTTGAAGCATGCAGAGTGTACTCATCCATTACTAACAGTACTCTGAAGTCCTC